GCTTATCTCAACTTATTGATATTGGTATTTGTAGAGAGTAAATTTCCTAGGCCTATGGCGCCGTTAAGTTATATTTATCTATGCGAAGGTGGGGTGAATAGTTCTTTATCGTAAAAGTATAACTGGACACTACACCCACAGATAATGGAGACAGGATTATTTCTTGTAAGCATTATCTGAAATTTTCCTGTTCTGTATATCTTTTAGATGGACTACTCCTAAATTCTTCCCTTTTTCGTTCTCTAATTCATAGTAATATGGACTACGTTTCCTACCAACTCTGGCTGGAATGAACACTGGAGCTAGTTTACTACTGCATTTCTTTATCGCGTTACTTTGAGTAAAATTTCTAGCGTAAACTAGGTCGCCGGCTTTAAACTGTATTTCACGGGCTCGTAGATTGTATTTATTTGCATTTTCTTCATGAGACTTGTTTATGTTCAGTTTAGCTTCCCACATCTGCAGCTGTAAAACATCTGGCTTTTGTAGCCTAGTGTCATCTGCTAATAGGTTCAAGCTACGTAGAAAACTGTAATACTTGCCGTTGAGGATCATATTCTGCCCAAACGCTAGGAAATACGGCGATGAACCTGTACTCCTGTGAAAAGATGCCCTTAATGAACCACTAATGGCATTTAAGTTGTCATCCCAATTTGTGTGATCATTTCCAATATAGGCCCTTACGGCTGCTAATACTGATGTATTCAGTCTCTCGCTGGCGTTAGACTGTGGGGAATAGATAGCTGTAAGTGGTAAGAAAAGCCAGAAAATAACTCGATTTAAATTGACTACCATTATCAGAAAGTACTACTTCTGGAACCCCGAAAGTATAGAAAATAGCCCCCTCCAAATACTCCCAAATTTTAGGAGCCGTAAACTTTTTAAGTGGACACAGAATATGGAACGGGTGTTGTGGTCGACTACAATGATTAAACCTATATTGCCCATCCTCGTGCGAGGATATGGCCCTAACAGGTCAATATATAGCTTTTGAAATGGCCTATCTGAAGTCAAAGGTTTTCCCATTGGTGGTCTAAGAGTAGTGTTTGTACTTTTTGTGGTACGGCAAACTACGCAGTCAGATATATAGTTGCGTATTTGCGTGACCATGTATGGCCAAAACAATAGTACAAAGTACATAGCCTTGTTGTTTTTCAAACACATTTCCTTAAACATCGATTCTTTTTCAACCGTTTCGATTTTGCCTGTGGGGCAATTTTTAAATATGTGTCCGAAATTATTGCAGTTAAAGCATTTCCGAACGCTCCTTCAATTAGGGCACTGATGAATGGCCACTTAAACCACAGTTGTATTAATGTACCTTTCTTTGCCAAACGCATATTTCGACTTGTCTTCTTGATTTTTTGGCTTTCTGGATTTTTCACAAATTTTCTCATAGCACTTTAAATTTTCCTTAAACTCCTAGTCTTTAGCATTGTACCATATTGATTTATTGACGCTCAAATTATTTATGCACTGTTATCTACACTGCCACGAGAAGTCATTTCTTTAATTTTGAGAAGATATTCTAGAACACTTTCATTGTTTTTGATTTTCATTCATTTCGGCTTTGAACTCTTTGATCAATGCGTTTTTCAACATTTGCTAACTACCGCGCTCACTCATAATGTAGATTATAGCGAGAACTTTTAGAGAACGTTTCGCGAAAATGAATTCTTACAGGTCATCCCTGTACATAATGGAAGCCATGTCTTCGCAATCGGCAACCCAAGCAATGGCCGAATAGAATCTTCTACATCGCGGAAGTTTACTGAAAATCGCGGCGAATTCACGGCAAAACTTTGTAACGAAGCGGACACTACTGTACCAGATCGTGCGTTTTTGTTGTTCGCCTTTGCCTGCTATTCATTCGTTACTGCGTACAGAACGGAACTCGTCGTCTCTATCGTTTTTAACTTTTCTCGTCGTTGTCTTTGTCATTCTCTTCTTGTTCGTCTCTTTTATCATGTTCGTCGTCCTCTTCATCAGCGTCTTCCAGTAGTTTTTTAGACGTAAATTTCGGAAAATATTAAGCATCAGATAATTTTTGTCGTGTTGCAAGCCCACAATCCACATTATTTTTTTTCAGTTTTCAACGCCTGTTAAACCGATTCAAAATTAGCAAGGTTGCAGAACAGTTTTTTTTTCAAGTTCTTCTTTGCTCGTACTTGTTGTTGCACATACGCGTCGTTATAAGTATATGTATAGTGCAGATTACCGTGGTGTTTGTAGCGTCTTTTTCACACACTCGTACGTCGTTTTTGCAAGCTTTTCTTTTCGTTTTCCACAGTCCTCGTCGTTGTAAATCTTTGCTTCTAACAATTTTTGTCGTTTTACTTTTCACGTAGGTTGAACCCCAATATTTGTAGGAATGGTTTTCCTATTTAAATAAGAAGTCCCAGTGTTTGTACTTCCATTATAAAAAGTTCATAGTTTTATTTAAATTTAATAGTGATAAGTAGTTTGAAAAATAGTTTTAGGTATTTTAATGAACTTAAATCGTATTAAACTTCGTTTTTTTGATACTTTGTTCGTCGTTTTTATACCCTTGCAGAGGGTATTATAATTTTGGTCAAAAGTGTGCAACGCAGTGAAGGAGACATCTCCGACCCTATAAAGTATATATATTCTTGATCAGGATCACCTCCTGAGTTGATATAGCCATGTCCGTCTGTCCGTCTGTCCGTCTGTCCGTCTGTCTGTCCGTCTGTCTGTCCGTCTGTCTGTTTCTACGCGAACTAGTCTCTCAGTTTTAAAGATATCGAATTGAAACTTTGCACACACCCTTCTTTCCTTTGCACGCAGTATATAAGTCGGAACGGCCGGGATCGGCCGACTATATCCTATAGCTGCCATATAACTGAACGATTGGAAATGCCATAACTTTGGTTTTTGTTAAGTTAGGAAGTTGGGATTTTCTATGGGTTTTATTTTTGGCCAAACAATCCGACCACCAAATTTTATAAGGATCGGCCGACTATATCCTATAGCTGTCATATAACTGAACGATTGGAAATGCCATAACTTTGGTGTTTTAAAGTTAGGAAGTTGGGATTTTTTATGTGTGTTAAGAATGCATCATATGAATAATTTTGGAGAACATAATTTACAGAATATTCTGCAAGGGTATTTCAACTTCTGCTCCGCCCGAAGTTAGCTTTCCTTTCTTGTTTTAACTTCGTTCGTTCGAACGTCTTGCTCATTCGCTTGTCTCGTAATGCTCATTCAAGACTTCTTTTCTCTTCACAAATACTTTTGATATCAGCTGATTAGAGATGAGTTGGGCTGAACAGAGCTGCCAGACCTATACCCACAAATATATGGAAATATTGATAAATATATTGAATTACTGTTGAAAGTGCTGTATTGCTGAAATTGTAATGTATTGCCGATTAAAATGTGATGAATTTCTGAAGGGAACGCCGATTGTGCTGACACTTGAACTACGAGTGTTAATTCTGTACCAATGTACTAAGTCGATCTATTTGCCCAGTTTTTCAGACAACATATTTTGCTTCATCCGTCTTATTCATATGCCATATTCAAGTCAAACTTAATTTTTTGTCCGAGCATAAGCGAAGTCTGCCTTCTCATGGATCTTTAAAAAGTTAAGCCAGTCTATTCTCGGGTCCCGACTTTCCACTTATTTGAAAGAATTATTTTGTATAACCATTCTTATTTCATGTAAATAAATATTTTTTTCCGTGTCTTTAAAAGTACCTCCGAGGTATAATAAACATGTAAAGGTATTTATAACGAAGTCTTCCCTCAGTTTACTTTACAAAAAACGTTTTTAATCAGGGTGCAGTGTTTATTTTTGGGATTGAAATTTTCCAAGTCAACACACAGAATGCGTAATACAAGCTGAGTTCATCTATATGTTCGACTAGAATCATACAGGTTTATGACATTGGTGTCCTTCTGGACACAAGCTTTAGTTTTCTGCCTATATAACGTCCAATATTAATAAAGCCAGGGTAATCCTTTAGTTTTATTAAAGGTGGTAAAGGAATCTTTTACGATCTTGCAAAAACAAAAGTTTAAACCGTCATTTCCAACATCCTTTTTTCGTGTATAGTATTTATTTGCTTAAATAAAAATATTAAAGCAAATACTAAATATTAAAGTTACTTATTACAAAAGTTTAAACCGTCATTTCCAACATCCTTTTTTCGTGTGTAGTATTTATTTGCTTAAATAAAAATATTAAAGTTACTAATAATAAATAGTGGGATAGTTCACATTTGTTAAAGTCATGAACATTTGTAATGATCAAATTTTTAATAAATGCAGGAAAAGCTAATTTAAATATTGGGTTATACAACCCAAAAATTGAGTTACAACTGGGGATCGTACTGATCGGTGCGCTAAGGTAGATATAAAAGCTATAAGGTATAGTACTCGCACATATCCTGCACATGTTGAAAAGTATGAAACAAGTAAAAAGAAGCGTTTTCGACCCTATAAAGTGTCTCGATCTAGCCATGACCGACCGTAGGAATGTTCAATAGTATAAGAGCTGGAAATGTGGGATGGAAAATACAGACTATAGTGATGCAACAAATTAACGTCAAACGTCAAAAAGCAAAATTCTGTATAAATGTGTAAGAGAAAAGTTTTTTTCGGTAAATTATCAAATTGTCAATAAAATAATTGGACTCCAAAATGTAAGTCCCACAATTATTTCAGAAGTACTTAAGAAATGAAACTTAATTTCATGGTCAACAAAGTTAGCGTTGGCAGATGCAACAACATATTTGACCCACCAAATTAAAAGTATAACTGTCCTTTTCAATTCCTGACGCTCTAATAGTTCTCTTCATATACTTTTCTTTTTCTGATGAGCATGACTTTTTTGTTGTCACTTTACATGCTTTCTTCGATTACAATTGAGGAGAGTGCAACAACTAAAGCTTTGTAAAAACATATATAAATGAATTATTAATTTTTAAGCTAATATAATATTTTGAGTGAATACATAAATTTTCTAACTTGCGTACACTTCAACAATTACTGGAAAAGCAGCATCCCGCAACTCTTCCCTCCAGCTGGGGGGAAGCAGTAATTGTACTTGAGCTCGTCCTCCATGCGGTAATGGTATTTCAAAAGATCGCTGGGTCGGTAATGCAAGCTTTTGTAGCCTCTCTGTGTAAAATGGCCGTGTATCATATAAAATTTTCACTAAGCTATGCGTTTTAAGCATATGAACTCCTGATACAGGCAGTCCTGGACCTTGGCATTCCAATATGTAGAACTCAATTCCATAGTTTGTTGCAATACCAAATGATGGTGTAATAAAGGCATCAAAATGTGAACAGTTCGTATAATAGTAGCGACTACTCCAAAGATCCTCGCCTAAATCACATGTTATACATTGTGGTTCGATTCTGTTGATTAAAATAAATCAATAAATAAATAAATAATGGATAACTTGATGCCGCTTCCTTACTTTCTAGTATCGTCATGTACTGGATCTTTGACAGAATATAAGTGCCTATGACCAGGCTTTTTATCTTGAGTAGCCAGAAAGTAAACTTTGTGATTTATGGTATCCCAGCATAATATTTTTATGACCTGAAAAATGAGCAAAGAAAACTAGGGTATTATTAAAATAATAAAAATATAAATACATAATTTATTTTTGTTGATTCATTCCATTTTTTCTTTCTTATTTTTGTTTTGGTTTTTTCATTGAAGTTTAGTTATTTGAAGTTTTGTGTGTGTTAGTTAATGGCGAAAGCGTGAAGACAATAAAGTTCTCTCTGACTGTTTGTTATTTCGCACCGTCTACGCCAACCTTCGGTAAGCTCTATAAGCGGAATTGTATAGGAAATAAAACTTATTGTTGAAATTAAGTCAAAGCGCTAGCATAATTGCCCCATCCCACATCCCATTTTCCGAGTTTGCCAGACCCCACAGCTTATAATGTATAATGTATGTATATTAAAAAATCAATTCTATGTAAGCATGGTGCCTCCGGGTGGACTACAAACAATTAATTCGTAACGATCCGCGATTCAATATTTATAAGTATAAATTAAAACAAGAAAGGAAAGGTAACTTCGGACGGAGCCGAAGTTGATATACCCTTGCAGAATATTCTGTAAATTATATTCTTCAAAATTATTCATTTGATGCATTATTAATAAAAAATCCCAATGTCCTAATATTAAAAACACCAAAGTTATGGCATTTCTAATCGTTCAGTTATATGGCAGCTATAAGATATAGTCGGCCGATCATTATGAAATTTGGTATGTCGGATTGATTGATAATACCCATAGAAAATCCCAACTTCTTAACTTTACAAACACCAAAGTTATGGCTTTTCCGATCGTTCAGTTATATGGCAGCTATATGATATTGTTGCCCGATCCGGCTCGTTCCGACTTATATACTACCTGCAATAGAAAGACAACTTTTGGGAAAGTTTCAAGCAGATAGCTAGCAAACTAGTCCCTTAGTTTGCGTTGAAACGGACGGACGGACAGACGGACGGACAGACGGACAGACGGACATGGCTAGATCGACTCTCGTGGTGATGCTGTTCAAGAATATATATACTTTATAGGGTCGGAAATGTCTCCTTCACTGCGTTGCAAACTTTTGACTGAAATTATAATACCCTCTGCAAGGGTATAAAAATGGGCCAGGCATAAATATAATCCATTTACAGTGTTGGGAAAAATAATAGGAACGTGTGGTTGCGTTCGTTTACTTCAAATATTTCATAAGAAACTGAGCAGATATTTACCAAATTATGTTCTTTTACACATACTAAAACATGTTTTTCCCCTGGACAAAAAAAAACAATGGAAACAAAACACTAAAACCTAATGAACACTGAATTTTTTCCACATTTTTGAACAAAAGTAGAGGATGTAGAGATTAAGAGGCGCATCCTTCGGATATAATTTTTTCAGTGCATCAGCGAGTCCTTAATGGCATATCACTCATATGCATGAAATGGCGTAAGTACTTTTTTCCATTTTATGAATTTAAAATACTACCTTGTTGCTATTTTAGTTTCGCGACTTTTTCATTGGATTTGCATTGCGGGTAGCTACCAATCGTCTTTAAAATGGATATAAATAATTTTAAGTTTGAATTTTGGATATCCGTGAGGGATCCAAATTATTATTTATAGAAGAGAAAAATCAAATTTTTGTTTATATTTATATTTATATTTATATTTATATTTATATTTATATTTTATTTATATTTGAATATATATATTTGAATATATTTGAATTTATTAGCAGTGAAAGGTTGACAGGGATTTTAAATAGATCCTTACAGTGCAAAAAATCGGAGGCTATGAACTGATAGCGATGCAAAACCACAGTTCTCAAGGCCAGAGAATGGTACTGGAAATAATATCGTAAGTAGGTAATGGAGATAGAGTAGAAGGACTTTTGTACAGTGACAATTGGACGGACAATGAAGTTGAGGAGAAAAGCATTTCTGTTGTTTGCAATTTAAAGCTGCGAAGAGGGTGGACGATTTTACACTGCTTTTTCTTATTTGGACTTTCAAGAAATTGGCCTATTGGAAACAGGGGCAACATCACGTGTCTAGGGTAATATTTAATTGAAAAAAAAACCAACACTCAAACGAATTGGAGTCGTTGTCATAATAGCTGTGGAAAAGGGCATTTACTAGTAACATGGAGTTCGCTAACGCCGAAATTCGCTATGTTTTAAAGTTTTCCTTCGTAAAAGGTAAATCCGATTTTTGAAGCGGAGGGTGACTGGCGACTAGAAATGGATCACATACCACAATATCAAGCGAAAACGGTCGTGGTTGAAGGCCGGTGAATCGGCCAAAACAGTGGCCCAGCCGGGATTGACGGCCAGGAAAGTTTTGCTCTGTGTTTGGTGGGATTGGAAGGGAATCATAGACTATGAGCTGCTCCCATATGGCCAGACGCTTAATTCTACCATCTACTACGCACAAATGGACCACTTGAAGCTGGCAATCGACCAGAAGCGAACAGAATTGGAAGGGTGTAGTGTTTCACCAGGACAACGCCAGACCACACACTTCTTTGATGACTCGTCAGAAGCTACGGGAGCTCGGATGGGAGAATTTATCGCATCCACCATAGAGCCCGGACATAGCACCAAGTGACTACCACCTGTTCCTGTCCATAGCGAATGCCCTCACTGATGTAAAGTTGGGCTCAAAAGAGTGTTGTGAAATGTGGCTTCAGAGTTTTTCGCAAATAAGGAGGGAAGTTTCTACGAGGGGGGTATTATGAAGTTGCCGTCTAAATGGGAACACATTATCGAACAAAACGGCGCATATTTTAGCCTAATCCGTTTACTGTATCAATTTTTATAAAGCATTGAATAAAGAGCAAAGTTATTTGACAACCTAATATCAATCCGAAGAACAGCTAGTGTGCAGAATAATTAAATTTGATCTTATTATATATCCAACTCCATAGTGCGAAAATTGGCAAAATTGACGAAGTGGAAGATTACAATGGGATGCTTTCGCAAAAGTCTAAGTGTGTTTCTTTTCTACGTTGCAGGAGGATTTGAATTTGAATGATTTTGATTTGTTTGAATATGTTGACGGCATCAGGTATTTATGTGTATAAGCAAGGTTGGGGTAACGCTGTAAAATACATTTAGTGGATTCAGTTGCGAAAGGAAAAAATTTGGGAGCGGTTTAAAAGCAAGCAATGTCAATAAAGAGAGAATTATAAAAAAAATGTCTAAAATAGCGAGATTTAAGGAGGAAGAGTTAAGGTTCCAGCTACGATCGACGAACGATCCATGCCAAATAATTACAAGGCTGAAGGGCCCTGCCAAGATATGCCTTGATTCCTCAGTTCGGAGCAAACTCAGATGAGGCCGCAGTTTATTTTGATATGAAAAAAATATTAAAGAGCAAGAAAGAGTACTTATAAAAAAGTAGCAACTTGGCGCTAAAGCAGGCCACAAATGCCATAAAATTTCCAGAAGTCCCACGCAGCGTAATAATTTTATAATTTGCGCCCAAAAAATAAGAACAAATCGCGCCCCACCAGATGCAATAGATTTCACAAGCCAAATGCTGTTGGCCAAAATGCAAAAACTCCTTTGCGTAAGCCATCTATTCTAGCGAAAATGTTGGATATGAAAATGTATTGAAAAGTTTGTTCTGCTAAAATATACGTAGCGGACGACGATTTATTGCAGGGTGATTTTTTTGGGTCAGGACGTCATTATCAGCGCTCATTTAACGGCTACTCGTTAGTTTAAAAAAGGAGAAGAAAGGGTTAAATAAGCGGTTTGTTGCAGAAGCTCGCTAATGTCTTCTTCACAGGATTCCAAAGCATTAGAAAAACGAACATTGTTCAAGCAAATATCATCGTGGAGAGTGGTCAGAAGGAATCTCATGGTATTTTTATACAGAAACCTGGTTAAGGCCGGATACACTTAGCTCCAAACTTGTCCCGTGTAAGTACGCAATTTACAGGCTTGATGAGGTGGAGGTGGAGTCTTAATTGCTGAATTAATAACTTTCGAGAATTTAATGACATCGTATTCCTAGGTATAAAATGATGGTTTGCTTGTCATTGTGCTATCAAAAGTAAACCATGTTAAACCTCTTTAGGACGTTTACCTGACTTTCAAAACCAGAAGGCGTTTCTGTATTAAGAACTTCACCACAACTAAAATATCCTTATGACTCAACTCTAGAGATAACAGTAAATACAGGAGCGTAGTTAAAGAAAAGTCGGAAAGGTCTTTTAAACGAATTCGCTGCTTTCGCAAGGCAACCTTTCATCGCTTAAATACTTTTATATTCGGCTTTGACTGGTCCGAATTTTATTCATGCATTAACATGGCTGAGGCCGTTAACATCTTTTATAATGCTTTGAACTCCTTCTTTTATCTTTACACTAAACGTAAACCAAACTGTTAACCTGCGTCATTTCCAAATGCAACGGAAAATACTGATCAGGCAATTGCGATACTATTTGGCCAGTCTTGACAGACAACATATTCAGCTTCATCCTGCCTAAATCCGTCTCATTCATTTGCCATCTCCAAGCCAAACATAATTTCGCAAGCTTCAGCGCAAGCCCCCTTCTCTTAGATCTCCAAAAAGTTGAACCATTCTCTTCACCGGGTCTCCACGGATTTCCAGGCTGCGTGCTTAGATACTGCGCTGAAACTTTGTGTTGATTGTTGCAAAAATTGTTTATCCTATCTTTGGAATCCTCTCACTTCCCACTTATTTGTTATTCCCCTTCATGAAAAAATGAAATAAATCGAATACAAGCAATCACGGAAGTATATCAAAGTTGACCGCCATCCCAAAGCTTTTCGAAAACGTAATATCACCCCACTTGCAACATCTTTGTAGATCAATTACATATATCTTCATGTCAACATGTATTTATAAGTCGAAGATCTACTACGTTTTTTATTTAAATGGCTTTATAAAAGAACATTCAGACATTATTTATTAACTATCTCCCTCTAGGTGTTGACAAAGTTGCCAGTCCTCATGTGCGCAGATGACGTTAAGTTAGGCCTGGAACTTAGCGAAATTTCCTGCAGTTCGGACCTAAATGC